CCCCCCCACTGCAATTCCCAGTAAACAGGCCAGACCAGACCAGTGAGTGGGTTCTTTGACATCTCCTACTTACCGAAATTAACTAATTAATAGAAGCAGGAGATGGGACCTAGGGTTTATTCATCCTTATCCGAGAAGTCTAGAATATCTATCCATTTCTTGATATTATAGAAAGGTAGTGCATTCTCCTCAGTTATTTTAAGACCTTGAGTGTTGGTCCAGCTGGGGCTCAAACCCTCAACCTTGCGCACAACAGTCTGGGACTCTAACCAATTGAGCTAACCAGGAGGTGGTTAGCATATTATTTATCTAGTCATGCTAATATAATTTACAGTGTCATACCTTGGAACACACTACAAAAAAATTACCAAACCTAGGACTTTTAGAGTCAGAGTAAATATGTCTTACAAGCTTCCTTGAATGTACTGAGGCTCTCAGTGGAAATTATAAGGTCTAAAGCAGCTGACCTGAATATTCTCTTCCCAAATGATGCTCTGGCTCAGCTGAAAGAGAAGATTCTCTTTGTGTTTGTTTGTTATGGTAATAATCAGAGTGAAGCCAGAGATACAGATTAGAGTCAGTCCACATTTTGTGTTTCATAACTGTGCTGTAATTAAAAGCTGCAGAATTAAAAAGGTTCAAATTTGAATTTGAATTAGTGCTCTCTGTTCTCTCTTTAAGCAGTTATTTCATCAAGATGTAAACACTTTGATTTGTACTGATCAACAATGTTCAACATGATATGTAATAATTGTTTGAAAAAAGTTTCAAAGAAAGTTAACAATCTTAGATGTAGTTGAAAGGTGCACTGCATCTCTCTGTCCTGCCAGGTATCAAGTCAGTGCAAGGACTAACTGATAGCTTTTATAAAATGAAAAATTAATTTTGGTTTAATTGGCATGTTGCTCTGTTTAGGTGTTTGGTATTATGAGGTGACTCTTCTTACAGCTGGGGTGATGCAGATTGGCTGGGCCACTAAGGACAGCAAGTTTCTCAATCATGTAAGTTAAAAGTGAAGCATTTTCTGACATTCTTGTGTTCTACTGTGCCTTAGATAATGACTCTTTGATCTCTTGGTGTTAGCCAATCAGTATGATAAACTTAAACTGCAAAGATCGATGGTGATTAAATTATGGTTTTGAGATTTGATTGATGTGTATGTTGACTGGTCAATCGGCATTGGAGCTAATGCTGGTGTTGTATACCTTACACCGACTATTGATGGCTGTTTATGTATACTTTTTCCAGGAAGGATATGGTATTGGTGATGATGAGTTTTCTTATGCATATGATGGCTGCCGACAGTTGATATGGCATGGAGCCAGGAGTACGCCCCATCACCACCCCCCTTGGGTACCAGGTCAGTTGGTCACCTGATCATACCTGTTTCAACCGTGATGTCCGTCTTAGTAATCAAACTTATAGAATATCAAATTTATCACAATATCTTTTAGGTGATGTTCTTGGCCTGCTCATTGATTTAGAGCGTGGAAAAGTGGCGTTTTCCATGAACGGAGATACAATTATAAGAGATTTTAAGGCAGCGCTTTCAGGGTAAGCTTTATGTAGAAGGACGTTATTAGGTAAACTTGATTTCAGACGAGCTGAATTGTAGATTAAGACCAGCATAGATGACATGACTTAACTTTAAGGTGGCATGAGATCACAGTCCTTTCATGGTTCGGTTGATGCGGGAAATCTGCACAGGGATCTCAATTCAATTAGTACCCCACTTTTCAGAACAATTTTGTCTGTTTGAACACAGGTCACAGAATAAAAAAAATGTAAAACTCAAACTATACACACCATTTCTCAAGCCTTTGGTTTTCTTCTAGGGCTGGATTCTTCGCTGCAGCAAGTTTTATGTCTTTTCAACATTGTATTTTTAATTTTGGAGCCAATCCCTTCAGGTTAGTATATTTTTATTTGTAAAGATATACAAGCAAGTATTTAACAACCGGTTAGCTGATACAGATAATGTCCAATGAAAGTCTGCAGATTTTTTCTTTTCTTACGTACAGTTACTGTACAGTTAAACCTTGATATACCATGGCCCCAAGAGACTGAGGTCGAAGGAGAATATTTGGACATTACGGATCGAAGAAAAGTAACCGTTCATTTTACAGAGGCTCTCTCATTTTTAGGGGGGCTTGCGCTACAATGTGTTTTTTACTCTGACATGGGGGACTCTTCAGCTGTATCGAAAGGAGCATCCCTCCTGCTAACTTGTAGCTTCAAATGTTTTTTGTGCAGCATTAAAAAAAAAAAACCTTGAATTTAGGGGCAAGAGTTGCCTATTTCAAACCCGGTCACATTTGAAAACTTCAACGGATTGCTTTCTTTTCAAGATCTTTTAATCTCAACTAACAGTTAGCCTTTCAGTTTACTATCTCGAGGATTATTTTTGTCTAATACCGCCATGTTTTCAATTATTTTACTCGAGTCTTAAATCATTGCAGGTTTCCTCCCAACGTTCCTTTCGACAATTTCAACGATAATGCGAACATGTCATCCGAGGACAAAATAGTTTTACCAAGGTAAGATGGTAATGAAATATTCAATGAGAACAAGTTCTTAATGACTTTGAGTTATTTTAGAAGTCATTGATTATTTTGAATAACGCGTCGTCAGTCCAGTGTTGTTACCTTATAATCTCGGTCGGAACAACTCGATTTTACCGGCTGTTTACTGTTCAAAATTTTCTGCAGGCACCTAAAGTTAGCTGCTATTCGCCAAGAGAGCATAGCTAATGATCCTTGTAAAATATGTTATGAGAATTCTGCCGATACAAGACTGGAACCTTGTAACCACAGGTAAGTAAAAAAATTAGATACAACCATTGTAAAATTAAGTTATTTAACCCTCCCATACTTGAAGTGCCTCGTGTGTTTCTTAATTCAGACTCCACCTGTTTAAGAACTTTTCAAAATAGCAGATAAAAGTTTTTGTATTTAAGTTTATCCTCGTTTTAAGGTACGTTTTATTTGTAGGGACGTTTGTATGAGGTGCGCTTTACAACTCGAAGACTGCCCTTTATGCAGAAGCCGCATTCAAGATAGGGTTTTGGATGACCACAGTATGCTACCCTCGCCACAGGACACCAGCTGACAATAGCTGATTGCGCCCTTGGCTTGTAGAAGGAAACAAATTTTACCAAAGCTCGGACCCTATTGTTCTACGCCTTAGCGGGTTATAAGCAATTGTTCAGACATGCTGTAGGACAAGCTGTAAAGTTATGCTTATAGATTCGTGATTGTTGCTCACTCAAAATACGAGGCATAGTTTTAATATTAAATTATTTGACATTACAAAAGTCCTATCTACATTCGGGTTTTCCTCATATTAGATTATTGTAAATGACAAAGTTCCGGTTAGTTTGACTGGTTTTCTTTATAATAGTGATTGCTGCTGGACATAATTTAGGTAATGTTCATTTGTTTGCTAGTTTGGTTATTGTTTGTTTTTGTTTACTTCCTGGAGGCCAACATAACTTACCGGAACTCGTTGCAACTTGGAATAATGCTGAAAGCAAGAAGTTTTTATGTCTGATTGTGTAGGGAGATGAAAGTGTCTGAGATTGTGTTACAAACTTGTTTGAGAGGTAATATTTCAAAAACGAGTGCGCGTGTTTCATCGGGGTTTCCAAACACGAGAAAACTGATGTTTTCGAGTGTTTGAAAACCCCGATGAAACACGAAGCACGAGTTTTTGAAAATGCTTCTCAATCGTGCATCATGAGCCAAGAACAATGAAAAAATTCTGACTGATTTTGGCATCAGTGAGGTTTGACATTTTATCAAGCTCTAGGGTTTGATATTTCATCAAAGTATAGTGGAAAAGCCTCTGTCCAGTGTTTCATCGGGGTTTCTAAACGCACAGGTGACCAAATTGGCGTATTGTGATTGGTTTGTAACTTGATGAATTATTAATGAGTTTGAGAATTTTATTTCCTGCATAGTAAGTTAATTTTTGAGTTCGCAAGGAACTCAAACGACACTGGCTTATGCGATTAACTTTTTGCTAAAAATACCTCTGCAGAAACTGATTATGCTGATACTATATCTTTCCATATATTTGTTGGTTCGAAAGAATGTTGTTCGGAATTGTTTCGCACATTTATGCTGTCAAATGCAGTGCTGTTTAAGTGTTCTCCAGAACTCGTAAACACCCATTAAATTCCCTTCATTCTATGATAAATTTTTGAAGTGAAAAAAGTAGAGCCTTTCCTTGGTTTCTTTTGTCTGACAAAGCTGGAATTCCACTGGCAAAAAACTCACGTCGAAGGCTTATGAGATATCTACTAAAGCATTCAGTTCTCAACAATTTGGTGGTCAAACGTAAGCGTGGCTTTTGGAAATCACAGTGATGAGAATAAAAATTGACTGACTCAGTCCGACTAAACTTTGACAAATAAACTGACTTCAACTTTTAAGAGGACAGTTCCACGTGGTTATAACTAACGTTCCTTTTTTTAGGGCATATTTTAAAATCCTGTGATTTGTAAAATAAACGGCCAATTTCTTATAGGTAATTCTATTAAATTATCTTTTACGTTGTTAGTTTTTACTATGTTATTATCTTGCAAAAGATGCTGCTGTTCCTCGTAAGAGGTTGTGTGGGAGGGTCTAACAGTCCATCTGCACTCGTCATCTACTATAAGCGAAGAAAAGCCAAAGCCATTACTTAATCTCAGTAGGAAAATGGCCACCGTATTAAACGCATCGTGGTTTTCTCGTTTCGCATATTGCCGATATGTAAAACTGCCAGCACACCTTAAAAAAGAACACTTTTTAATTGAAAGAGCTACTCAAATTTAATATTTTTACAGTGCGTAATATATCATTTTGAGATCAAGATAATGCTGATTCTTAAGATTCCTGAGCCATCAGTGCCTCGATTTCATCTACTGTACGAGGCACATCTGTCAACAGTTCTACGCCGTCTGACGTCACCACTATATCGTCTTCGATATGAACCTGAAAACATGAACAACAGCATATTGGTTTTTAAAGCAGCTGAAGGTTCTGGCTTGACAATTAAGATATATACCGACATAAAATATGCGATAAAGTCTCAAGAATATCTCACCCCTCCTACACGCCAAAATCGGTCTAAGACTTCTCGGTTGAAGAAACACGCCGTGTCAGAATTTTCTAACGCCTCCTCGACAAGCTAGAAAACATAAGCAGAGGAACTTACAGTCAGGTAATCTGCGGTGTACACCATCATACTCTTGATTCTTCCACAAGAGGGATACTTTATCTCTAATAAAATAGAGGTGGTAAAATTACTGAATGCTGATTGGTCATTGAAGAGGGTATCTTTTTCTTAATTTTTCAAGAGAAGAGGGCAAAATTACTAGCTCATGATTGGTACTCAGGTTGCCTAGCAACAGCTTATGCTATCGAAAAGTTGTTGCTGAAGATTTTCTGTAACAATGGTGTCTCGTTTCGAGATAGTTGACGAGAAATATATCGAAGAATTAAAAGACATGAGTGAAAACGAAAACACGAGGAAAAGCACGGAGTACTGGAAGAACGTTTTTAAAAAGTGGGCGAATGAAAGAAGCTTCCAAGCAAATTTAGAAGAGTACGAGAGCGATGTCCTCGACCGAACACTGGCGCAGTTTTATGCCGAGTTACGAAAAGAAAACGGGGATGAATATGAGCCCGACTGCCTGAAAGTAATGTAGGCATCACTGGAGAGATATCTAAAATCAAAAGCCTATCCATAGTCCTGGTATCTTTCTGCAAAAATAAAATTTCATTCAGCTCATTCGTGCGTTTGTGGCCATTGATTCTCTGTCAACTTTGGCTTCCTATGACTGATTACTGGCTTCCTGATTACTTCTCTGGCTTCCTATGACTGATTACTGAAGAGTGCATTCAGAAATTCAATAATTTTCCCCTCAATTTCATTAACAAGTAATCGCAATGGGTCCTCGTAAAATTAAGGATTAATATCACTTGTGCTTTCAGTCGCTTCGCGACTCGGGCAATTTCAGCAACTTCTGAAAACACAAGTGAAATTAATCCTTAATTTTACTGGCCCCATGCGATTACCTATACAAATTCTGACTTACTCCACGAATGAAATGAATTCCCGGTTCAATGGTGAGTACCATGCCTTCTTCTAGGACGCGGATAGTTCTAAGCGAGCGGAGGCCTGGTTCATTGATTCGCTCAGTTCCCTGTTAAGAGCAGTCCAAAACTTACTTTCAACCCAGCTTCTTCATAATAAGTGGTCCATCAATTTTGTGTTATCAAGACTATAATATTAATAAATCGTCGTTTTGGGCCGCTAGGTGGAACAGTTCTTTTTTTCGTTTGAAGAGTAGTCATGGATTTAGAAATGTTATCTTGAATGGGAAAGTAAATGGGAAGAAAAAAGTGAAAGGCCACAAAAGCAATAAAAAAGGAACACGCAATGATACTTCGGACAGTTTCACATGTCAACTAGTAGATTTACTGGGAAGATTCAAAGTTTCCGAAGCCAAGGGGGTTAAAGATGTAACAGTATAGATTGAATGGCTTTTTCTTTTTGCGCGCTAAAATCGAAAATAGAAAAATTTGTAAAAATGGTTTTCAAGGATAGTTATTGTGACAACAATTTGGCCTACACTTGACCGTTTAGTTTAATACTGATGTTGGTTGATACTTCTCAAAGAGAATTTTATTGTAATGCTGAACTAGCTATTTCATTGTGCACGCGCGCGCGCGCGGGCAAACCACAGTCATGACGTCAACCATTACGCGACAAACAACAAACAGCAAAACCGTGTTTGTAGTAACCGTAGATTTTCGTTATTCAGTTGCAGGACAGCTTCACTTAGTAACGGAGGAGGTTTACGCGATGTGTGCTGTTTTCAGGACTAAACGATGAAGAACGTCTTTGGGTTGAATTTCTTGGCGGTAAGGTGCGTATTGATGTGTTTACTTTTTATTGAATAATGGATAAGAAGATTATGTAACGGCAAAACAAAGCCAGGAGAGGGAAACTTCGACAGTTAGTTTCAGAAAAGGTAAGGATAAGGCGCCCAGCGTTATTTAGGCGGTGACACACTTGGCGATTTTCTTCGCCGATCGCGGTGTATTTGATTTCCAGGGAAATTCACCACCGCAATGCGGACACGCTTGGCTTCACCGATCACGGTAATGTGGCACCTTGCGCAAACCAATGTACACGAACAAAATGGCACCAGAAGCGAACACACTTGCTAGCTGCTGCCATAATTTTGCTCCTAAGACGCTCCAGAAAGCGCACTGCAAAGTGGGCTTTTCTGAACAATGAATTATCAGATTTGCTCTTTTTATTAGTCCAAAACCAAGTTTGGCTGCCTTGGACATTTTGAAAAGTCGCCCATTTTGATTGGTCGATTTCACCCAGTCTGGCGATTTGAAACGGTGAGAGAAGAATATCGCGGAGACGAATGACGGCGAAATTTAATCGCCGATATCTGTCATGCCAGATATCGGCGATTTTAAACCCCAATTGCCGCGATCGGCGTATGACTTCGCCCAGTGTTTTGCTTACTTTACGAGGTGAGCACGTATCAATTTGACAGACTTTATATTCTAGATAGCTTAAGCTGCCTCTCCATAGCTAAGGTGTAACAGTCTCATAACCGCCCGTAACCATTAAAATAAAGCGGAATAATTTAGTCCGTCATGTTCTCTGCTATCACTATTGATAGAAGCCTATCAAATGGCTGGCAAGTAATTGGTTCGAATACAATTCTGTAATGTATTCATCAAAAATGAAAGGGAACACGCTTATATACAAAAAAAATAAGGGAGCTTAACTAAGAATCGCTTCAACAATCTTCTTAGACATACTTTAGGATATCCTCCAACATCGTGCACATCAACGCCCATCAAATGTCCCAAACCATATGGCATAAAAACAGCACCCAGATGTAACTTCATCATCTCATTTACGTCTCCTTCTAAGAGCCCTATGTCTCTGAGGCCCTTCAGCTGAATACGGTCTGCTAAACGGTGCATATCGGCCCAACTCACACCTAAAAAAAAATTACAAATGTTTAGGCGACAGCTGGTTTTCCATACAACAACTGAAACAGTGATGGGAACATCGCGAGGGGAGCAAGTGCCACTAAACTGGGATTTGAATGACAAATACCTAACCTAGTATTTTCAGCAATGACCATTGATTTTGCGAAATGAAAAACAACGTTAAGTTACTTGTAGATCTACAAAGACACAGCACGCTGTAGCTCGCCATCTATGACAAACAAATGTTACTTACCGGGTTTTATTGCTGCCATAACTCCTCGATTTGCCCGGAGACAAATTTCATAAATTTTCCTCTGATCGTCTGTGAACTTGCCATTAGCTGGAAATGAACACGTGATGTCTGACGCATAGCAGTAATACTCACAACCCATGTCAAATAGACTACAGAAACAAAAGATTTAAAATATGAAATTTTGAATACTTCGAGCCTCAGATGCGCTTAGACATCTCATAGGAATGGATGTAGAAACTGAGTGGGTCGATAAATCTTGTAACACATTGTCTTTGGCTTTTAACGCAAATTCTCCTGCCATTATTTTCTACTGGCCGGGGGAATTGCGTAAAAAGCTTAATGAATACAAGTCATGACAAGAGTTCCTCTCAGTAACATGCCTTCCTTCCCTATACATATTGTACGTCAAAATGTTTTGTACTTCTCACAGGCGGCCCAAGCGTACTTTGTGTGATTTTGGGGTCTAAAGTTCATTAACGGGAATAACTAACATATTAAGATCGAATTTTAGACGTAAGTGTAGGTTGTTCGAAAAGAAAAAATTATAAAATATCTAGCGTGTGAAGTCTCCCAACCGTTTTTCGGCCGTTGACGCGTTGTGGCTTAAATCGTTTTAGCGCTGTTTTGGCGACTTTCTTCGGAATGCGTGTGGTGCCACCAACTGTATATAGAAAAACATATACAGTTACTGGTAGTACCCTTCGCGTTATCCTTCTTAAATCCTGATTATGTTGCTGCTCGCTCGCTACGCTCGCTGCGCAGCAAGGATAATAATAATAATAATAGTAATAATAATGATAATAATGTATACAACTTGGCGCTTAACGAGCAACGAGCGCGCAGCGCGAGTTCGATTTGAAATTACAAGTATGATTTCAGACCAAAATTGCACGACACGAGGTTCAATTACCACTTTATCACATCCATTTTGAAATCGCCCAAATACAGGACTTGGTCAATTCAAATATTTCACTGATGCAGTGCTGAGCTGGTTTTTAAATAAAAAGTGGACCCGGAAACACGTTTACATCTTACTTTGTATGCAAAACAGAAAGACTTTGACGTCCTGTGTGAAAAACTCAGTCAAGCGTAAAATGATGCGATTTAGAGCAAAAAATGGTGCGATTTGTGAATAAATCGCACCGATTAGAGCCAATCAGATTACAGGGATCACCAGTGATTTCAAAATGGATGTAATAAAGTAAGTTGACGTATTTAACACGAGTAAATTTCCGCCTCTCAGAAAGTCTGGAAAAATTGCGAAAATTGATTTCGTAAACATTTATGCAAACGGAAGTTGGTGATCATGGGCTTGGGTAAATTTTCTTGGAAATGAAGAAATTCAGATTGACTAACTTACCACATGTCTCCATCCTGTATAACTTTACTATCTACTTCAACTGTATGAGAAGGGCAAGCACAGTCTACACCACTAAAGTAAAGAACACAACAGTCTTGAGTTATTTCACTTAAGCTTTAAAAAAATCATATGAAACGCTGGTATGGCACAGAGTTCACTAATGGATGGAGTGTAACAGAAAACAACCTTCCAACTGCTGTGCAAGAACGGTCCAAACAACCACAAGCAGCCAGCTCTCAGACCGACTAGATAAGAAGGAAAATAGTCAACCGATTACTAAGCAATTACAGTAAAATACAAATGCTGTACCCCACCATAGTTAGTATGACCCAACCAACTCCTGCCACTGCATGCTGCAAGATGGGGTCTTATTGCAGACTGGATGTAATTTACTGTGTGTCTGGGAGAGTGGGAAGGGAGACTTCTTGTTTGGGATTATAGGGGAGAGGGGTGGGGCAGTGCTGTCACCTAAATTTGAATGATTGAGCTGTACCTTGCCATTAAGCAGTTATAAGCCAAGTGGCGACATCCTCCATGATAAAAACAATAGTGCTGGAACAGGCTGTGAAAAATTAATTTTTAGGACCAACATAAAATGTCATCAGAACAGTTCAATCATTTCATGTATACCATCTATTAACTGATTCTTTTTTACCCACCACAGAGTTTAGGATCTGTAAGGCTATAATAACATCTTTACACATATACCTTTCTCCTTGATATGTGGTCATCCCTGGTCTGACATGTTTCATTACCTATAGGTGAAAGTCAATTCAAGTGCCTGGTTGGTTAAAGCTTAGATCAAGGGTTAGGATCAACAAGCTCTTCACTTAAACTGGATTAAACTAAAAGGTACAATTAAAATACACATCAAATGTAAATCTCGACATTTACATCTGATTCTGAGTATGAACATCAGTTACTGGGATTGTACAGAAGAAGTTCTGACCGAACTTGTAAAACACAGTGAGAGTAATTTTGGGTTTGTAAACATATTATCATTGTAATAACCCAGTAGTGATATACCTACCTCTTTGTGTGCCTTACTGCTTATTTTGTTAGCATAGCGTATTACATCCAGTTCCTGGGTTGTTTTGAAGACACGGCTAAGAAATTGCACAGATATATCACTAAGATCCTCACTGAGAGAGTGATAACATGTTTAACTGAGGGAATTCATCTCAGAACAATTTTTGTGAAAGTGTAGTGTGATCGTTGGGGTGAGTGTAGTCCTGAGAAGGACTGTTGTCGGTGGTAGTGACTGACGTTTCGACAACCTGTGCGGAAGTCATCATCAGAGTCAAGTGAATAGTTGTTGTCAGTAGAATGTTCTTATTTCAGTTCGTGTAAAATGATTGGTCAGTTTTGCCGTGATGTTATTGGCTCAAGTGGCGTAGGTCAGTCGTGATTGGTCTGCTTTGATTCGTCGGTAAAGTTAGGTCGTGATGTTATTGACTCAAGTGGCGTAGGTCAGTCGTGATTGGTCTGCTTCGATTCGTCGGTAAAGTTAGGTCGTGATGTTATTGACTCAAGTGGCGTAGGTCAGTCGTGATTGGTCTGCTTCGATTCGTCGGTAAAGTTAGGTCGTTCTGTTCGTTTGTAATGTTTATGTCGTGAATGAGTCGTTTGTATGGAGCCGGTAGTAGTTGACCCCTGTTTAGGGGAGTCAGTTCTAAGTTAGTAAACCAGCTTTCCAGAGTCGGTCGTTGAAAGTAGTCATTGCTGTAGGTTAGGCATTGCGCAGAGTCCCAGTCAATATTGTGGTTCGTCAGTCGATGATGTTCAGCAATGTGATTGCTGACATCACTTTTCCTCGTCGCCCGTCTGTGTTCAGTCAGTCTTGTTGCGAGGTTTCAGCCAGTCTCTGCAATGTAGGAGGCTTGGCATTCGGAGCAATTGATCTTATAAATCGCTCCCTGTCTGTTCCTCGGTTCGTCCTTGTCTTTAACGTTGGTTAGTAACTGACATGGTGTGGTGATGGGTTCGTGGGCGACGCGGAAATTGAAGGGTTGTAAGATGCGCGAGATGTTCTCAGACATGCTTTTATGTACGGTATGGTTGCTGTAGTCGTAGGGGTTGCGGTGTCGTTTGTTTCAGTACGTAGTGGCAGCGGGTCGGTGAGTGTTTCGTCGGATGAAGTCGTTGTTGTAGTTGTTCTTTGAAAAAACACGGTGAAGGTATTTGTTCTCGTCGGATAAGGTGTCTGTCGAGTCGCATACTAGTTGTGCGCGTCATGTTAGAGTTCTGATAGTTGTGGCTTTGTGTGATGTAGGGTTGCAGGATGACTGGTCTAGTAATCTATCGCTGTGTGTCGGTTTCCTGTACACTGTCGTCCGTAGTGAGTTGTCGTTACGGCTTACCAGACAGGCTAGAAAAGGAAGTTTGCCATTTTCTTCGACTTCTCTGGTAAACTGTATGTCAGTGTTTTGTCCGTTAAGGTGGTGGTAGAATGCGTCAATTTCGTGGTGTCGTAGGGCGGTGAAAGTGTCGTCAACGTAACGTAACCAAAGCGGTATCGTTTGTCGGCAAGTCCAAAGGGCGCGGTCCTCGATGGTCTGCATCACAATTTCTGCTATAACAACAGAAACTCCAGACCCCATGGCTGTGCTGTGTAACTGTTTGTAGTGTTTACCGTTGTACTGAAAGTATGTAAACTTACTTTCGCGCATCTTACAACCCTTCAATATCCACGTCGCCCACAAACCCAGCACCACACTACGTCAGTTACTAACCAACGTTAAAGACAAGGACAGACCGAGGAACAGACATGGAGTGATTTATAAGATCAATTGTTCCGACTGCCCAAGCCTCCTACATCGGAGAGACTGGCAGAAACCTCGCGACAAGACTGACTGAACACAGACGGGCGACGAGGAAAGGTGATGTCAACAATCACATTGCTGAACATCATCGACTTACGAACCACAATATTGACTGGGACTCTGCGCAATGCCTTAAACCTACGGCACTGACTACTTTCAACGACTGACTCTGGAAAGCTAGTTTATTAACTTAGAACAGACTTCCCTAAACAGGTGTCAACTACTACGGGCTCCATACAAACGACTCATTCACGACATAAACATTACAAACGAACCAAAAAGAACGACTTTACCGAGGGATCGAAACAGACCAATCACGACCGACTTACGCCACTTGAGTCTTACAGCCAATAAATAACATCACTGCAAAACTGACCAATCATTTTACACGAACTGAAATAAGAACATTCTACTGACAACAACTATTCACTTGACTCTGATGATGACTTCCGCACAGTTTGTCGAAATGTCAGTCACTACCACCGACAACAGTCCTTCTCAGGACTACACTCACCCCAACGATCACACTACACTTTCACATGTTACCCCCGGGTTCAAGCCATTAACTGCAGAACAATGTTTCTTATAAAAACAGCCACACTAATTCAAGTTACAACATCTTTGGACATATCCATAAAAATATCCTTGATCTGCCCACATCAGGTGCTGTTCCATTTCTCCCCCTCTCAGTAATTATCCAGTGGTATCAAAAATAGACAATCAACAAAACAAAGGAACAGCACCTTACCATTCAGAAATCTCTGGATGTAAAATAGTGTTGTCCACGTGGAACCTAGCAGGAAAAACCGTTATGTTGTGCAATTAAGTTCATTTATAGCTTATGTCGTTAATGTGAACAGGAGATAAGAGTGGAAAGTGATTAATTTAATGTTTAAATGCCCTTCTATGAGGTGTTTCAGGCTTGATGACAATTCTCTCTTAAATCTGTTATCATTACTTTAACTTGGAGGAATTTGGTATTGGGAGTAAAATGTGAAACTTACAAAATCACCAAAAACTTACAGTCGATTACAAAGCAAACTTTTGAGAGGCAAATTATGAAATTTTGAATTCCTACATTGATAGCAATACATTTTTGTTTTAAATCCCAATAGAGTCTCCCACACCTGATTGGATCCCAAAACTACTTACTTGTTCATGTTTTCAAATATAGCTTCTTTGCAAATGTGCCTTGAATCTGTGTTTATACCTTTCTAAAAAACAAAGATAGAAATGATTTATTTATTGTAGGTGCTCAAAGACATCATCAAATAAAAGTTATAGGTCGGAGTACTCCTTTATGTGACAACCTAGTAAACATAGTAAGCGTACCCAGCGTACCCTAAATGCAAATGATAATTACATCAGCATTTGTGATGTTAAGATGTAACCTCACATGGGCAACTTACACTAAAATTTGATTCAATCTGAGCCTAACATGGCTCTTAAGTTCAGTTCTGTTGTACCATTAATAAAATCAAAAAAGTTATGATTCATGTGCCTTCCACCCTGCTCTGATGCTACTTACCAATGTAAGAAGAACTGAGGGATTCTTCTTATCCAACACATCAACAATCTGAGTGATAAAGAAAAATTGAGGACATATTTCATTGGTAAATTCTGAGGTAAAGTAGGCTCTCAGAAGAATTTTACTGTAGTCAGTGGTGATCCAAATAAATTTTTAGCAATGTTACTCCACTACAAGGTAATTAGAATAAGTCCAAGTTGATTCAACCCTGACTAGCAATCCAAGTTGACTTGGTCCAACTCTTGTATCTGCCTAGCAAATGAAAATGTATGACTTGTGTTCAGAGTACTGTGATTGATTACATTCAGCTATTTACCAACCTGGTTAATGTAGTAGACTTCCTCTACTTCATAACGTTTTCTTAGGTGCTCTAAACCATTCTTCCTACCAAACAAATTTTTGAAAATTATTGTCACTGACATGTGTTACAAATGGAGAGCACAAGTTTCACAGGAACATTCCTCTGGATAATTATTGCATAAATAGTGATGTATTTTTATGTGGGATTGGTTAACCAAATCAGGTGTCCTGGAGTTACCCCCTTGTTTCAATAAATATTTAAAATTTACATATTCTGTTCATTCCTACTCAACAAGGCAATCATGTAACAGAAATCTTTATGTAGCCTCAGTTAATACTACTCAATATGGCCTACAGTCCCTAAAATTCACTGGCCCTTGCCTTTGGAATTCCTTACCTTAAAGTATAACTAATTCAAATTCTCTTAGAATATTTCACAAACCCTGAAGAGCTCTATACTTGATTGTAACTCTTTTTAATTATCGACTTTACTGCATGAAGTAATACTTTTTATTAAAAAAAAAATTATTCTTAATTTTGTCTTTACTAATTAATTAACTATATCTTATAATTAGGGATCATCCACTAGATTAGCCTTTGCTATTTGGATGATCCTAACTAGCTACCTACTCTATTGCTAAATTATTTCTCCTTATTCCTTTGCTGTACTGTGTTCAGTTGCTATATAACCTATATATGTCTTGTAAAACCGAGCTGAGTTAAAA